CTTTTTGTTGATTAAAGGTTTGTTATAAATGCAGGAGAAGATATGTGGTAGGCTCTTAGAGTATGCATTTCATCTTGGATACAGGTTATTAGAGTAGAGACTGGAATAGCATTTGTGAAGTTTAATTCTGGTTGGAAGTTGGTTTGCAAGAAGTTTTGTTCTAAATATTGATAATGTCCTATATTTTGTTTGGTCAAATGTTTTTAATTTGTTGTTTGCTTTAATAATGGTCACCAATTCTTCAAAGAATAAGGATTTATAAGTTGCTGAATGACTAAAAAATAAATCAAATAGGTTGGTATAATAGTTTATAAATTTGATCCAGTAGGTGATGCTTGTAGTGTGAGTGTTATTGATTAAAGGTGAGGATGTGAATGTAAGTAGAAAGTATTGAAGAATTGGTGAATTGACTGTGGATGGTGGTTAATGGTCTTTTAATTTGTATCAAGAAGTATTGATATTTTTTGCCACTATAAGAGTATTGTATTCATTAATGAGTCTGCTGTAAGGAATTTTTACTAATCTATTTGAGTACTTGAAAGTATTTGGATTAGAGATTTTGTTGAGATAGATTTTGAGTGATGAATGAGTTAGGGGATCAGTAATTGTTTGAAGGAGTACTGGCCAGAAGTTGCTCCAGAAGTCGCAATGCAAGGTATAAGTTAGGATGTTGGCCAGTTTGGAAACTGACAGGATACATTAATATAATATTTAACTTTATAAGAAATGTATTTTATTTATTAACTTACTGTATATATTTTTGCCTATTCTAAATATATATTATTTATTAGTAATATACTGATATCTTCTTAATATTTTTCTAATTTATTGTCATGATATGCAAATTAGCAAGCTTTATAAACTCTGTATTTATTACACTAGTTGAAATCTGATTATTCAGCAATATGCCACTTGTCAATCATTCAGCATAGGATAAATAATTTGTCAAATATTTGACAATAATTCAGCATATTTAATTCAGCAATGATTGCCAAATTGTTGATGAATGTTTGACGAATTATTTATCATATGCTGAATAATTGATGAATAATTGATGAGTGGCATACTGTTGAATAATCGGATTTCAACTAGTGTCAATTATACAGTGGTACCCAAAATTATTGGGAATTTTTTGATGATCATTTGCGCAACAGCCAATAATTTAATAACTACGTAATACGATTTATTTAATTTGTAAGAACCACGAAATTAAATGACAGGTATTGTTAATAGTTTATTCTTTCACCGTTTGCATCAATTATCATCCTACATCTCTCTTGCATCGAATTGATCAAATTTTTATAGGTATTCTTTGGAACCTTCTCCCATTTTTCGATCATAAACATTTGTAACTCATCTAAATTTTTTGGTTTTTTTTCTCCACATTTTTTTTTATAATTCCTATAAATTTTTGATGGGGTTAAGGTCCGGGCTGTTCGATGGCCAGTTGATAACACAAGGAACCGTTTTATTGAGAAAATCCTTGGCTAGGCGGCTTGTGTGCTTAGGATCATTATCCTGCTGAAGCCGCCAATCGTCACCCATCATTTTTTTAATCTCCGGAAGTTGGTTTTTTAGGATTTCAACATAGAACGAGGCATCCATCTTTCCTACAAAACAATAAATGCTAGTTTTATCCTGCAGGCTAAATGCACCCCAAACATGAATTTTTTGTCGGTTCTTAGGAATGCGATCGACAGGATGACTGTTTTTGTACTACTAAGTGATCGTGTTCCTAAACAATTGGAACAAAGTTTCGTTGGAAAAAAAGATACGGAACCAATCATCGTCAATATGTTCTTGGGCCCATTTAACCCATTTTTCTTTATACTCTTTTGTAAACATAAGTATTGCGAGGGGGAGGGAATTCTTGTAACCGTGACATAAAGATGTCTTTGAACCATTTCTCTTCCGAGTATTATGCCCTTTTCTGAAAGTTTACTTATCAACTCACCAACTGATATTGTAGGAATTCGCCTGATAAATTAACTGATTGCACGTATTACACTTGATGTAAAAGTCTTAATAAAATTGTTAGTGATTTCAAAAGACAGTGAACTTGAGCGATTATTGTTTTAACGCCAACAGAGTTGGAATTTTATTAAGGTCAAAAGGGCATCCTTTTATATATGTTGGCTTCATACAACGTAAAAATACATAAATAAATAAATATAAAAATACATATATCTATATAAGGCTTAACCTCTGGAGACATATGTACTTAATTAACATAAAGAAATATAAAAGGAAATAAAAAGAAAATAATATAAACAATATGCACGCTCTATGGCCTTATGCTCCTAATTTGGTTACATTAGCTCATAGTAATTAATTAGTGGCGTCTTGGCGGCGTGGCACATCGTCAGGGGTCAGAATCGCACCATACATGCGTCTGACAAATGTCTGGGAATGTGTCTCAGACTTGCAGGTCGTCAGGGGCAGATCAGATACCTTCCGGGGCATCCGGGTCGCTAGGCGCAGTATGGGTCCCGTGGTGCAGTTACAGGTCAAGATTGTTACACTTGAATTGACTTTTCTTGGATGACCTACGCCTCTTTGTTGTGCCACATTATCGGTCTTTTTTAATTTTTTTAGGTTGTAATATATTGTAGAGAGGCCAATGTTCGTACGTTACTGAATTTCTCTTGCGAAGCGAATTCCTTTACTCCATAAAAGACAAATAGCTTCGTGCTGCTGGTTTTTTGTTGAAGAGGTCATTTCACGCTATTATTTCTCGCAGAATACATTATATACAAGAGAGGGTGAGAATGGGCAGGTTATTGTAAGATAAATAAAGTATGATTATACATGTCAAAAATTCACTTATCTTTTGTAGTTACAAAATTACGTTTGATAATCATCACTCTAAAAAATTCCAAATAATTTTGGATACCACTGTATATGATAAATATATGATTGATATTTTATGTAGTATTGTATTAGATCCATATGTTATATTATGATCCTACTACAATTTTCAGGCTAACACAATATATAAAGCTCCAAAAAAAAATCTTTTTTTGATTTGCATAGGTTCACATAGACTTGCATAATACAAATAATATTGTAAAATTTGATTGAAGTATAATTTAGTATATAAAATGACCAAAAAATAGCCTGAGAGCCAGCTTGACTCAGCTTGTTAGGAGCCTTACCTATATAGGCGACCTCCAAATTAAAGAAAAATCCTTTTACCCATCTCTATATATTTTCTTCAACTTAAAATATATCATATACTTTTTTTTCAAATATATATATATATGTCAAGTGATAACATTTTGTTTTTTCAAAGTTTATATTTTTTGCTAATAATAACTAGGTCCATGTTATTCATAACCTTTTGGCTAATTGTCAGTTCTCACTCAATTTTACATCCATAAAACTGAATCCAGCATATCTTTACCAAAAGATCTATATATACAAAATACAAATACACTTCATATTACAATAATATTATCAAAACCATAATATATATCACTACAACAAATACTATTACACTAAAACAATATAACAATCTATCAGATTGAAAAAGCATATAATTTAACCTATTCTCGTAGTGCAAGTTACAAGTACCTTTGATACACAAGGTAAGAGTTGTCCTCAAACTTCACTTTGTTATTTATTTAATGTTCTTCTCTCTCTGCTTAATGTTACAAATTTGCATATATTTACACATGCGCCTCATTTACATTCGCCGCTATTTCCACTTTGTTCTAGAAATCCCCACCTCTAAATTTTCTCATCATAATTTACTACTATTCGCGACAACTAGGTCCGTAGCACAATACACAGCATATCACCACTTACCGTCCACAAACTTCATACTTCACATCGTTGATTTTATTATTATTATACTGTCTATTGTAGGTACAGTATGTATCATAAAACTGTCATGTAAACCGATAATATTTTACGTAGGGACTACGCATACATCGCCACTTATGGTATGCATTTCACAACGTTAATAAATTTGACTAATTATAACATCAATATAGGAGTGTTAATCGGTTACGTACAGTATATACTGTATATAAATTCATTATCATTTAATGAATAGAAATTGTTGAATAAATTATTCTATTGTTATAATCATTTGGATGTACGTTGCTTATTGCTATATTTGCTGCCATCATTTATTTTAGTTTGATTCAATGAAAAAGAGAATTTTCTTTTTTCCACTCTTTTCCTTTTTTTTATTTAATAGTTGACGCCGTTTACTGTAGTAGGTACATTACTGACGATTATTCTAAAAAGTCGTTGTTTTACCATACTTATCGAATCACTGAACTCCAGGTTTTTGTTTAGTGTTTAGATTGGTTGCATATTTAAAATGCAGTAATAAATGAAACCATTATATTATAACCTTAATTTTACAACGCATAGCAAAGATTTATAAATGACATGTGGGAAGTTACCCGTGCAGCGATCGTACAATGCCGGTGCACCATCCCTACAGAGGCACATGAATGATTTTGAGTGAAGTTTCCGGATCACGTGAACTAAATATGTACAGTAAAGCCTATTACAGTATTGACTTTATAAAATCTAATCGCTGAATTTTTTTCGATCCATTTAATTATTTTTCAACATAGCTTTTTTACAAGCTTTGCTTCTCATTATTAGCCTGAGCTCCACCATATAATTAGATAAGGAAAAATATAGGTGAACTTTAAAGTATAATTTATAACGATATATCTGCATGCATTTATTGCGATCATGATCAAAGAAAAACCATAACAAACCATCAATTGATATTCTAAATAAACGTCTTGATTTAACAGGCATATTCCTGATTTTCTATGTGCCGGGTGACACAATTCGAAAACTTAATTAATCTATGTTTTGTTACAGTACGGAATTTCTTTTGAGAACAATGCACATGCAGGTGTATGCATATTGTACGATTGCTGCACGAGTAACACCTCTCATGTTATTTAAAAATAATGATAAATCTCCGACACAACGCGTTCATTTGTGACAAAATTTCATTAGTATCTCCTATGACTTCCTCATTTGCTCTTCAGTGTACCTTGTTGATTCGTTGAAAGTTAAACGATTAAATTCAGGATAAATTCTTTGTTTAAGTGACGGACACCAAAGTATCATTAGGGTTGTGGCAAATTGTATATAAGGGCAAGATCCTAATTCTTTTAAATAATAAAGTTTTACGTGGAAGCATCCTCGTTTTTGTATCGATATCAAAGTCCAGTATCGTCATTAGGTGCAATGGTAAAACTTTTTGCCATAATATGCTTCTCATTCTTGGCAATCGGCAATTTCGGTTTTGTAGAATCAGTGTCAAGAGCCTTTGATGGAAGCGATAACAACCCTGATAATCCATCGGCGGCTAAAGCGGGAAACTATTTCTTAAGAAATATCACTGAACTCAATTTTAAGTGAGCTAAATTTAAATGTTGATATGTTCAATAGAATATTAGTTTTTTTCTAATTGTATAATTCTGGTATAATCTAGCAAGCAAAACAATACGCCAATAAATTCGCTGACAGATGTAACCGACTACTTATCGGGAAGAAACATTACAAGTGTCAGATGCACCGACCCCGTTCCTTCCGGATTATATCCTCTCCCAAGATGTATATCTAATATATTGTGCAGTTACAACCTTTCCGATTATGACACTCAAAAAAAATCAAGCTACCGATCGTTCAGAAGTACTAGTCACTTTGTACGCAGCTAATTCATTTTATGCATATTGTAAAGAAAAAAATATCATCGATGCGCTTCATTAATTTTCATGCTTTCAAAATACCCTAGGTAACTTTTTTTGGCGAATTTGTCTCATTTGACCTTATTTCCTCGAAGGCCTCTTTACCAAATTACACTTATGTATACATACCGGCAGACGACTCTTCCTATAATCTTAATAACACCCTTGGGCAAACTGGAAAAACATTCCTTCCGGCAAATCGATCCGATTTAAATAACGGCACGAATCCTCTGTACTCGGGATATAATCTCGTCACGCCCTTCTTAGACTTAAACAATATCTATGGGTCTTCAAAAGATCAACAAGCTTCTCTCCGTGAAAGTATGCAATAACACAGGAATAAATGAAACTTAAAATTAATTAGACAATATATTTTAATTACAGTAATTTGTATTTTCTATAAAAGATGTTATGGGAAAGTTGAAGGTTAGCACGGTTGATGAATCTCCGTATCCGCCTAAAAACGGTGGCGGAGCATTCGTTTGGGGTGCCGTATCAACACGATCGCCTAGTATTTTCACATTGGCAATTCAGACTATTTGGATTCGCGAACATAATCGAATGTGTGAAATATTATATAAGCAACACCCAGAGTGGTCGGATGATGACCTTTTCCAGGAAGCTGTCAGTATATAATAGATTATAATGACCGTATGACAGAAAAGATTGTTGTATTTGCATTTTCTAATTCTAGTTTATATATACGTAGAGACGCTGGAATATAGCGTACTATCAAAAGGTCGTGACCGAAGAATACCTTGGTATTATACTAGGCCATCCATTACCTGCTTATCAATCGTATGATAAGAACATAAAACCTGGTATAGACACTTTCTTTGCCACGGTAGCGTTCCGGTATGGGCATAGCGAGCTTAGGTATCGTGAATAGCGAAACAATTTTTAATACGTGTTGTATTGCGCAATTAAGACAAGTATGATTATTTACTGGCACTTTGTATTTTTAAATATTTTTAAAGTGATAACTACCAAATTCAGAATGAGATTCCTGAAATTGTGGCGACTGTACCGTTCAGACAGTTAAATAAAACGGATCTATTGACGACATTTGGGGTTGAGACGGTACTTAGGTCAATGGCGCTTCAACGACAGGAAGAGGTCGACATCTTTTTGGCATCCGCTACAAAGAACGTAATTAGTTCAGAGCCTAATACGTATGATCTGGCAGCCTTTGATATTATAAGGTCTAGAGAGCGCGGTGAGTCTTATTCTCTCAGTCAATTGTTGACCTTGTTTACATTAACCAAGTTAAATCAATTACTAAAGAAAATTTTATTATTAGGAATTCCATTTTACAACGTAGTTCGTCAATCTTTCGGGATCCCAAAGGCGAATTCGTTTTCAGACATTTCTAGCAATCCACTTGTCCAATCAAATTTGGCCAGAGTATATTCTTCTGGTACTAAAATTTAATTTTATTAATAACACACTAGCATATATTAGTAATACAGTAGTTTATAATATTCTTTTATTAGTCGATCAAGTAGAAGCTTGGGTAGGTATATTGAGCGAAGATCATTTGGAGGGATCAAATTTTGGTAGAACGTTGAGCGCTAGTTTTGAAACACAGGTAGGAATGAGTCTGTTGTGATTATTTAAATAATCAGATATTTACGATCTTTCTTCTAAAGTTTTCAAATGTCAGAGATACGGATATCTTCTGGTGGGAAAATCCTAAGAGTCCTACTCCATTTAACGACGCCGATAAAGCAATATTGAGAAACACCACATTCAGGGACATAATCATGCGCAACATTAATAGCAGCGTTTATTTTCCTCAAAATATTTGGACCGTGCAACCACAATCAAAATTAAGTGGTGATGATTCCGATTATCCAAATAAGATCGAAGCCTGGCCTCAGTATATCATATTCTATAGGATTGGTGGCATCTCGAGCAAGACCATTGACTTTAAAGTTATGCTACAAACGTCTGGTGGCAAGGGGTGGTTTGGAATGGTGAGAGAGTTTGGATATATGTGACAATTCTCGGATGATTGTTAAAAGGTATTATTAAAGTTTATGATTTTAGGGATTTGGTCCAGATGATCTTGGAATGCAGGGAGCAGACTTCTACATTGGAATTGTGTGTAAAAATACCCATTAAACTATTCTAAGATGTACACGCATTTAACATGATAAGTCACTTATACAGTGCTTTACAGATTGACGGTCAAAATATCACATTGAAGAACTATCACGCGGATCCCAACATTTATCATCCTCCCATAGTCGATAAGGATCAGGATCAGACCGTTGTTGTTCGCAAGGCATCTCTTAGTAATAGTGGTGTTGCGACTGTTGAATTTACACGGTCAATGGATGCTGCGAGACCGGGAAAAAAGCCTATCGTTCATGGAACCATGAAATGTACGTCTGTAAACAATATATCTCATTTAATATTTTTGTAAACTTCTCTTTAATCGCATATTTCAAACATGACCAGTGATCATGGCCTACAATCCAACTAGCTCTCAGTTCTCTTATCACGGAAACAACCGTATTTTGATGTATATCGATTTTTATGATAATATCATTTCATCGGCGGTTATAACGAGTATGCAGTTGACCACAAAGGCAATTCATGGTGCTTGTATGTTCTTTGTTTGGTGGTATGTTAAGGATTGATGCTATGTAATCTACTCTTATTTTATAACGAACTAATATAATGTATTTATGTGGCATGCGATAGCATTCTATTCCCGACTTCAGTTTTCTGGGTTCGATATTTTAAGGTGGCTTAATTAATTCTCATATTCGCGCCTATTCTTTTGTTCTCATCTCATCTATTTATTTGTTATTAGCATCGCAACGACCATCTCACTATTCATCGATTTGCTCAATTGTTTGGAGGTGCGTTAGTATCAACAGTTGGTGTTGCCGCTATTACGACTGTGCAGTATACCCAGTCGCCACATGCATGGTAAAGTGAACTTTTTTTTTATCAATGCGAAACAGTCACACTCAATAATTTTTTGTTTTTATAAATTAGGTTGAGTCTGTTCATATTTTCCTGTTCATTTGTTCAACTCACTTTAGGCTTAATAGCCAAGTGGGGACAATCAGCCGTTGTTTCTGTTAATAAGGTTGTTTATGTTTTTATAATGATTCGTGGATTTATTTGTTTTGCACAGAACGGTTAATTTACTGGTTCTATGTATAATCCCAAATAATGTCATTCATCAGGGCTATCCTCGTTTCGTGAAACGCACTCATAAATTTTTTGGGGCTATTTTACTTCTATCGGCTTGGTATGAACTATTCTACATTAGTGTTTTCTCTACGATGAATATTATCACGATGACTTCTCTAACGTCTTTTTTCTTACGAAAAAACAAAACAAAACAAAAAAAAAATAGGGCCAATGTATATCTCGGTGAGTCGAATTTTCCTGGCATACTGGGTCATTAGAACAATGTCTTTGGCATTCTGTATTTACAAATTTTATTTATTGCAAGGCATCGATATCTTCTGCAGTACTTATGATTAGTAAGCGTGTGCCTATCTTGCTGTACTGATTTATTTGCTCTATATAAATTATGATAGGCTAATTTCATTGACATTTTACCAGCGATTCAACTCCATATAAGGCAGCATATATATGTTGGCTTGTTATGATAGTTTCGATCTTTGCATTTGGTGAATTTTGGTGGATTCGACAAGGCACGCTAAAAAAATTGATTTGCATGGACGAAAATGAGTCGTCTATCGAAAAAAGATCGATGATACATACTTATATTAATCATAAGGAATATTTGAATTTACCGGAAATTACTTGGGATGAATTTAATGAACGCGTTCAGAGCGGGGTTAGTAAAAACTACCACTTTAAAAGGAAAACATCATGCCGATTCTGAACCATTTTTTTGCGCATGCAATTTAGGCCTATTTTGTAGTTTGTGATAACCTGGTTGTGAACGTGAGAAAATGGATTGGAGCTCACCCGGGTGGTTCAAAAATTCTCGAGCGTGTAAGTTCAGAATTACGTGGTGCGGTTTTATCAATTTGTTCGCATAATCTCAACTTACAATTTTCTTATTAAGGTTATCGGTACCGATATCACAAGAGGTATATACAGTATATCATATGCGATTTGCTGTCAAAATCCAATTTGATCATCAATTAATTTTTCTTTTTTATTATAAGACTTTTTCAACATACATAAAAAGGATGTAATTAATGAAGAAGTAATTTTGTCCGAGACTCCCTTGTCGTCAAATGAAAAACCCCTTGGATCGATTGCGACATCAGTGTTGGAGAAGTACACTTCACATCTGACAAGAACTTTTCCAAAACAGAAAAAAAGTACCATTGCAGAATTTATTGACAGGATGAATGTCAAATATTATCTATCTGTTCCATTAGCAACTCATACTCATAGGTATTTTAATTCTCAAAATATTTGGCTTCAGTCATGAGGAATATGAGATGATGACATTGGGTATATGGTGTTTTTATTAGTCGATTTGCGACAAGAAAATTAGCATCATTGGTGGTCGGTCGAATAAAAGAAAGTGAAAAAACAAGTATCAAAATAAATCCTATTCATAAGACCGAGAGTCTCAACACAAACTCTAAAGATGGTCTCATGGCTGAGGATATGGTTTCACATAAGAAATTTAGTCGATACAAACTCACTAGCAAATCACCAGTTAACGCGAGTACGAAATATCCAGTGATGCGATTTACGTTCACCAAGGTACATCAAGTGAAGATCCAAGATAAGAATGCGAATGATTCGAGATTTTTGCCGGGACATTATATCGAAATTCAAGCCAGAGTTAAGGGCCAAGTGGTGGTCAGAAGTTATATTCCGTTGGAAGGAACAATGTCGAAATCCTTTTCAATATACGTCAAAATTTATCCGCATGGTCTCATATCACAGCATCTGGTTCGAATTTATTATACCTTTGTTTCATTCTGTATTAAACCGCATATTCATACTTGCATGTTTTCGTTAGAATAAGCAATTAATAGGTTATGAAGTTCGAGTTCGTGGGCCATTTGATGTTATGGAAAAACAAATGCGCGTGACCCTTAAAACAAACGGCTATGTCGGTTTACCTATACCCGGTTCTCCTTATCTGGGTCCTGATAAAGATGGTTTCAGCGGAAAAACGTCTTTGTTGAATCCAAGCAGCTCGGATGGATGCTGGGAAACGTTGTATATGGTATTTATAATATAAAAATAAATAAAAATAAATTAAGAATGTCACTTCTAATGACTTCAATTTTTTAGATTGCTGGAGGTACTGGGATCACACCAATGTTGCAAGTAAGTTTTCAGATCGTTACTCTCTTTTTGATGAATTCATAATACTTTCATGTATGTTATATCGGCTACTTGCACAGTTGATCAGATATCACCTTGAACAAGTTTTGAAAAGAGGGAAAGGTTCTCGCGTGCAAATGAATTTGCTACTTGGTAATCGCGAAGTCGAGGATATAATTGATGCCCAATTACTTGAAGAGCTTGCGTTTTCAAGCCGAGGAATGCTTACCGTTAAATATTGTCTCTCGAAACCACCGTCTGCGTGGGGAGGATTTCATGGGATTATCGGTGATGAGATTTTAAGAGAGTGGATAAATTCGTTGCGCGATGAATCAATTCAGTCACCAGTACAAGATCGTCAAGGCTCCCCAATCTCGGACCTGACGACAGAGACGATGCGAAATGTAACGCGTTCATTATCACCTTTTCCCACAGAGAGTTCATATTATGAAAACAACTATTATTCAGAGTCAAATTCAAATTGGGAAGGTCACACATCGGGTTATTCTCGCCCACAGAATGCGTTGTCCGGCGGTAGTACTTTGTCCGTATCATTACAAACAGCTACGCCGTCGCCACCACCGGGTAATTATACGTCGTTAAATTCAGAAATTGAAGAGGTAACGGATACATTGACGTTGAACACAGGGAACTTTGGTTGTAAACGATCAAAAATTATTGTGTGTGGTCCACACGAAATGATGACTGTTGTAGAACAGACTTTACTTTCCATGGGTTATAATAACGATGATATTATTATATTATATTAAGTTAAACTTATTATTTAATTATATGGGTATAATGGGTGCTGGATATTGTGACGCATAGCGAAACGATAATAAGAATAATGTAATAATTGAATCATAGCATTAGGTATAATAGCGCGTTCACAGCATATAAATAAGATAGTTTCTCATAATCCTCGAGAAGTCTTTCCTTTTACCAACTTTATCGCTCCTTAAATTCTATTATAAATTTTGTGCTGTAAAAATTCTTGGTTTCATAAATTATAAACTGTAAGATTGTCTAAAGATTAACACCGCTATAATAATACTTTAAGAAACTACGTTATCTTGTAATCTCGAGAAGCGCCTAGGGGACGGTTAAAAGGATATTAGCGTATCCCTATTTAAGCGTTTGGATCAAGTCGAAAGCAATAATAATTTTTGTTTCTTATTTATCTTAATCCGATCTTGATATCTTGATATACTGTACTATATTACGATTATTTTATAAAACAGAAGTTCAACCTCGCAATTCTGGAAGGAATAGAGGTTTATATACTATGCATAATTTTGATATATGATCTGTGTAATTGATAAATATAAGTTATTTGAGTTATTTGAATTATAAAAAAAGTATTATCTTCATCAGAACAGTTAACTATATGTGTTTATATGGAGATAAATGCTTGAATAAATAACGAGAAATAAAAGAAATAGGAAATATTCTCGAGAAATGATAGCATGAAAAGCACAATGTATAGTAATAATATATTAGTAATATAAAGATTATTTTAGATGAACAATAATTCAAGGATAAATTCTAGTAAAATTAGACAAGAGGTAATGAAAATCTTGGATATGACAATATTTATATTATTATTTTTTTTTAAACACCAGCTGGGCCTTGCCCTTTATACTTTATTAATTTCAAGTTTTTACATATGTTACTAATACAATCATGTTATAACTATAATTCGCTTGTATAAAGGACTATATTGGGGTTTTTTGGCCAAATATCGGCTTTGAGCTATTTGATTTATTCTAAAACCTAGGTTTTGGAAAAGCGATCAAACAATATTTATATTATTTATATTATTATATAAATTTTATTTGTTAATTTGATTTTTAATTTGATTTTGAAATTTTTTCTATAATGTTGGTTCTGTGTTTTTATAAAATTAAAATTATTGTTTTGGTAAAAAATAAAAGGTTTGGTTATTGTAGTAATGTATATTGCCTAATTCAATTTTATATATGCAAACATAATCACTAATTGTAGGCATATTGGAGATAATAATATCAATATAAATGAGATTCTAGTTTTGTTTGAACAAATCTAAATGTAATCTATATATAAATATATATTATTGTAGTTTGTTCAGAAGAATTTATATATCAATAGTTACAGTATATATATGATCTTGAAAATTGGAATCAAACAGACTTGCATAGACTTGCATAAGATTTGGAATATTATTAAAAATGATAACAGATTATAATCCACATATTAAATTTAATATAAACCTGAGAATCAAAAATTGAATCAAATTAAATAATTAGAATTCTTAGTTATATGTCTCTGAAGATATTAATATATTAAAGTTGAAAAATCAAAATAACACTAGTCAAAATCCAATTATTCAGCAGTATGCCACTCATCAATCATTTGGCATACTGTATAATGAATAATTTGTCAAGAATTTGTTAAACATTTAACAATAATTTGGCATATTCCAATTCTACAATAATTGTCGAATTGTTGACAAATGTTTGATGAATACTTGACAAATTATTTATTGTATGCTAAATGATTAATGAGTGATATACTGCTGAATAATCGAATTTCAACTAGTGTAAGTATATTTATTGTTAAAAGTTATATTATTTCTAACAATCTATTATTGATAAAAAAATCTTGCAATGTATTAAAATTAAAATATTTCAATTTTATTTTGGTTTTCAAGATTTTTATTATATTTATTTGACTGTTAACATGTGTTCTAATTTATCTTTAGATAAAATATAGATTCATATTATACTAATCAATATATATATTTTTTTTGCTAATATTTTTATTTTATTTTAATATAATTTTTAATTGTTTCTTTAATTATAATTATAATGCCTATACTTTTTTTGTTATTACTTCAGAAAATATAATATCTTAGAAATTTATAATATATACTATATATTTTTTTATTATAATTTAGGTTAAATAATTATAATAATACTAATACTTTGATTTTAACAATAATCTAATCAAATATTGCTTTTTGTTTTGTAAAATTCTTATATATCATATAATAATTCTTTACAAGTTTAAATATTTGTTTTTATTATAATAGGTGCTTATTTGATATTATATAAATAATATTATTTATTATTATTTATTGTAAGTTAATATATATATTTAATTATATTTGTTAAATAAGAATTAATAATATTTGACCTTTTGTATTTTTTTTATAATATTAAGATATTTATATATTTTATATGATAATTTTTTCTTTTTAATATCTAAATTAATTATTGATATAGATTGATAATATTTATTATTTATGTTTAATAAATTTATTCTATATATTATTCTAAATACATAATAATTTTTGAAAATAATAATAATTTTTTTTGTTAAAAATATTTTAAAGTTCATATTTCTTAAACTAATTTATAAGTAAATTTGTTTACAATTTCATATTTTCCAATAATTGATCTATAGATTTAAAAATATAATTAAATAAATATATTAATACAGTATTGTTGTTACTATTGGCAAGTCTGTTGTTAATCCAGAACTGAAACTTGTATCATAATAAAATTAAATCTAATAAGTCTATACTTGTTTTTTAGATACTGTGAGCTTACCTTTTCTATATTTAACTAATTTTTCTATAACCTGCACTTTTCTCTTGATAAAATACTATATGATTGATGAATTATAAACAAAAAAAATAAGTTTTATTATACAAAAACAAATTGGGTATATAATTTATTAAGTGATTTTTTTTTATTATACAATTGTATAGTTATTTATAGTATGATGCAAAAAAAATAAAAACTATTTTAAAATTATATTTTAATTAATAATTTCATAAATAATTTTTTTATAATTTAATTTTGATGACATAATAAAAAAAAACAATTAAATAATTTTAAATAATAATAAGATTTTTTTAATATATTTTATTTTAAAGTTAAAGATATTAAAAAATAGATTCAAAAATAAGATTATAAAATTTTTTTTAAAAAAATTATAACTTTTAATTCAATTAATAAATTTATTAAAAAAATAATATATAAAAATATTAAAAAATTTTTTTTACCTATTTTCAACCACTTTATATATATATATATATATATATTTATAAATTTTTTTATTATAAAAATTAAATTATTTTAAAAAATATTAATATATTGATTAAAACAATATTAAATAAAGTTATTTATAAGATATTTAACTATATATTTATAAATTTTTATAAATTTTTAATAATTACTTATTAAGTTATAACTAAAAATAGAATTGTCATTTTTTTGCACCATACTATATATATAAGAATATTCAAAATTATTTGAAGTTTTTCTTAATATATATAACTTAGTAAAAACTTATTGAAATTGAGCAAAAATTTAAACATAAATATATAAATACTATAAAATTACTTTTACTTATAACTAGTTTATAAATTATATTATTATTATTTTAAATAATTATTTATTATTTTTTTTTTTTGTAGGTAAACATTATTTCTTTATTTGATTTGTATATGTCAAGGTATACATCGTGAAAGAAACAATATCTCTCATACGCTATTGCGATAAG